AAGCTGACAATCTCCCCAGCAAATGCCCTCCCTCCTCTAAAGAGAAAATGCGTTTCCCAGAGAACCTCGCAGCTTCCTGTGAGCGGGAGCTGTCGCTCTGTCCCCCCGACCGGGGCAGTTATTTCTACCCTCTGCTGAACGCCGGCTGCTACAGGGAACCGGACCAGAGAAGCGGAAGAAAAATGGGTCTCAGAGAATTTGGTTTCCCCCCTCACGCCCGTGCCTAACTGACCTGGGACGCAGCCTCCGGCTCCCTGCACCGTCCGGAGCCCTGAAGCACCCCGTGGTTCAGAGCCGGAGCCGGGGCAGGGTGGGAGGGTGTGCGGGTACAGGGGCCTCCGTGTGTCCCGAGCAGGGGCGGTGGGGGTCGCGGAGCTGCAGTGAGGGAGGCCCAGAGGCTGCAGACGCCCATCACCGTATGTCACGGCCCAGCCTCCGGCGTGATGGACGATGGCCGTGTGAGGAGACTCTATCTGTCAGCTTGTTGTTGCCATGTTTTTATTGCCAGTTCACGGGCCCCAAAAGCTCAAGCCCTTTCCTGCATCCCCCTCTCCCCTGTCTCCCCCAAACAAAAGGATACCGAGAGGTTCGCTTGTGTTCTGAGGCTGCAAGTTCAAGGGCCTCCGGTCGTATGTGTAGCCAGTACACACATTGTGTTTGGCCTGAACGTTTTTGTTGTCGTTTTTATATCCACTAGAGGCCCGATGCACAAAATTCGTGCAAAAGTAGGCCGTCCTTCCCCCGGCTGCCGGCACTGGCTTCCCTCTGCACCCGGGACCCGGGCTTCCCTCACAGCCCCGGCTTTATTCAGAAGGTCATTTAGAAGGACGTCCAGTCTAATCAGCATATTATGCTTTTAATAGATATATATTATTGATCTCAGAGAGGAATTGAGAGGGAGAGAGAGAGATAGAAACACCCGCTAGTATCCATATAAAAGTCATCTCTCATTCATTAGCCAGCGGGACGCGTCCCTGACAGCGAAGGGACCTTGTGCCTCAGTTTGTCATCAGGAAAATGGGGTGACGGTGCCTCCCCACCAGACTCCCGGCGAGGATTCCGTGGGCAAAGCATCTAATCAGACGCCAAGTGGGGCCGTGGGCACAGCCCTAGGTACCCCGTAGCCACGCATTTCCATGTCACTGTTGTGCACGTGACTTGTTGTTCGGCCCAGGATAAAAACTAATTTCGAAGAGGCGATGCGTAGATGGAGAAACGGACACAAATAAATATTCCTGGAGGCTAAATTCAAAGTTGGGGGAGGGGGGAAGAATTTTAATATCCTTAGCTCTAGCTCTTAAAAAAAAGAGCAAAACATGAGAACATAAATTTCCCCACAAGTATTGGCGATATTTAACTAAGATTTATACTCGTGCGGCATTTACGCAGAAAAAAGGAGATGGCATTAAATTCTCATAAGTGCCCGGCGGTGCCCATCGAAGTGGGAACCGTCAGCCGTGGTTCCGCCTCGGGGTCTGGGAGGGGTGGGGAGCTTGAAGGGACGGCCCTTCCCGCCGTCAGCACTGTGAAGAGGGAGCGAATAAATCCCTCGGCTCGCACACCTGGTCATATTTCTTGAAAATATTTTTTTATTGATCTCAGAGAGGAAGGGAGAGGGAGAGGGAGTAGAAACACCCGTGAGGAGAGAGAATCATGGACCGGCTGCCTCCTGCGCGCCCCCCACGGGGGACAGAGCCCACAACCCGGGCAAGTGCCCGACCGGGAATCGAACCGGTGACCTCCTGGGTCATATGTCGACGCTCACCACTGAGCCACGCCGGCCGGGCAACAACGGGTCATATTTTAACAAGAGGGAGGAGCTGGTCGCAGCGGCTCCCCCAGACCTTGCGTTTCTCCAGCTCATCTCGGGTTGGAGCCTTGAACCCTGGAATGAGCGGGGGGACCAGGGGCTGGAGGAGAAGAGGGGTCGGTGGGGGG